TTATCAACCGTGAAATGCTTGAGCAGTGGGTGCGCGGTCACAGAAATGCCCAAGGGAATGCAGGAGAAACTACAAAGGCAATAAGGGATTTAAAACCACCCTGGTGCCATCCCCTGCCAGCCTCCCCAAAGAACATTTGGCCACTCTGGTGACCAGGCTGGAGCTGAGCAGAAAAAGCCTGGAGCTGTTTTTCTGAGGGCTCCCACTCCAGCATTCACGTCCCCCATGGATGTGCAGCTCACAGCCCTTGGGTGCTGCCTTTTCAGCCTGGAAAAGCCTGCTTCTGCTTTATTTTTAAAAATGCAACTTCATTTGCAGAGTGTGGGAAGGTGGTTTCAAAATAAAATTCCTGACAGGCATAATAAGCCTCAGAAAAGCCAATCACACAGAGCAGGATAATTATCCACCGAATTTGTTTTCTATGTATTTGTGTACAATAATCAATGATATTTTTCTCACACTGACTCCAATTTGATTGTATTTTCTGTGTTACTTGCAAATCATACAAACAATCAATGCTCTGACCCCTTCTCTATGCAAACACAGCTTAGAAAGACACTACAAGAAATAAAATCCGATAAATTCCTCACGCAGGGTTGTTTGTTTAAAAGCTTTGCTGGAGACTGATCCTGCTCACAGCGACTTCAGAGATACAGGAGTGGGACTGTCAGACATGCTTGAGGTGGGATTATTGCCACAAATATCAGCAGGAAGAGAACCTTAGGAAAAAACCTGGCACAAATTAAGGACCCGGAGGTGGAGGTGATGCCTTTTAAAATGCAGCAAGGAACAGGAATCCGTTCCTGGCCTGGCACACTCCTCCTGCAGAGGGGCACAGAGCTGGGGCTGGGGTGAGCTGGGGCAGGGCGGTGGGACCCGCACAGGGGGCACATCAGGGGCACTCCTGGCCGGAGTGGGGTGGCCAAGGGCAATGATGGCAGCGTGGTGCCACCTTCTCAGCAGCACCTGAGTGCAAACCCGCTCAGGAACCCCCAAATCCAGCTCCTGCTGCCTGCCCGGTGCCGGGGGGCTGTTCTTCACCATGTACTGATCTCAACCCATTGGCGTCCGATCCTCACTAACACATCATCACTCGGAGGAATTCCTGAGGATGCTTCAGCAAGAAAATGCGTCTGCTGGAGCCGCCAGTGCTGCTCCGTGCCAGGCATCCCGCCCTGCCAGTGCTGCTCCATGCCAGGCATCCCGCCCTGCCAGTGCTGCTCCATGCCAGGCATCCCGCCCTGCCAGTGCTGCTCCATGCCAGGCATCCCGCCCTGCCAGTGCTGCTCCGTGCCAGGCATCCCACCCTGCCAGTGCTGCTCCATGCCAGGCATCCCGCCCTGCCAGTGCTGCTCCAGTGCTGCTCCATGCCAGGCATCCCGCCCTGCCAGTGCTGTTCCATGCCAGGCACCCCGCCCTGCCAGTGCTGCTCCATGCCAGGCATCCCGCCCTGCCAGTGCTGCTCCAGTGCTGCTCCATGCCCGGCATCCCGCGCATCCCGCCCTGCCAGTGCTGCTCCGTGCCAGGCATCCCGCGCATCCCGCCCTGCCAGTGCTGCTCCATGCCAGGCATCCCGCCCTGCCAGTGCTGCTCCATGGCTGCTCCATGCCCTGCCAGTGCTGCTCCATGCCAGGCATCCCGCCCTGCTTTGTCAGGGCCGGTGCCATCAGCTCCACAAAATGGCATCAGGCTCTGCCCGGGCGTTGAAGGTGCCACTGCCGCTTTTTAATCCGAGCAAAGGTTGGACAAATGGGCTCTCCATGGCACAGAACCCCCGGGCTGCGAGGGGCACGGCGCTGCAAAGGCTCCGCAGCTCCCGGTGCCAGGCGCGGGGTGCCCGGGCTCAGCCGCACCAGGGCGGGCAGCAGCAGCAGCGGCAGGAGAAGCTCCGGGTGAACACGGGCAGCTCCTCACCCTGCTCTGCCTCCCCTCCCGACAACTCGGAGCTGAACTGAGCATTCGGGTACTCGGGTGCTGTTTTCTGATAAGGCGTTTTCAAATATTTAACAGATTGCGTAATAAGCGAGCAGCTGTTGAATAAGCTTCAGATATAAACTCGTGCTTCAAAAAAAACCCCATCCTGTAACAAGGCACAGATTTTCTTTGTACTGGTGCATGTATAGATTATGTTTAGATGTGGAGATTAAATATTTATATTTTACTGGTGAAAGAAAGAGTGCTTTTGGCTTTTTCTTCCTTTTCTTAGGTATCTCTCCCTGTATTTATTTTAACAGTCAGCTTCACAGGGGAAAAAAAAAAAAAGAGAGCTTTGAGAAGTTACCTGCTTTCTCTCTGGTTTGATTTTCAGTGCTAAACCAATAGTTACTTAAGTGTTCTGCACTTCTTGGCATAACCTAATAATTAAAATAATTACTTGAAAGCCAGGGCAGCTTTGCACAAATTAATGGAGGGTAAGAAGCTCAGTTTTCCAGTGGGCTGAAAAAGAGGTCACCAAACGATGCCAGTTTTAGCTGAGAGAGAAGGTAAACACACATCTCCCTGCAGCCCCCATTAAAGCCTTTTTCTGATCTTTTAAGTTTCTTACTTTTCTGATCGAGGAGGTGGCTCGATGAGGGGCGGACTGTTGTGGGATTTCTCAGCAGGTAAGGTGAGACCGTTCCTGTGGAAGGCACGGCAGTGCCTGGCAGTGGCACAGCTGTGCTCCTGCAGCGGGCAGCCCTTCCTCCCTTCCTGCCCGCTTGCCTCCATCTCTCCCTGCCTCCATCCCTCCATCCTTTGCCTCCATCCCTCCATCCTTTACCTCCATCCCTCTCTCCTTTACCTCCATCCCTCCCTCCCTGCCTCCATCCCTCCCTCCCTGCCTCCATCCCTCCCTCCTTTGCCTCCATCCCTCCCTCCCTGCCCACCTCCATCTCTCCCTCCTTTGCCTCCATCCCTCTCTCCCTGCCTCCATCCCTCTCTCCCTGCCTCCATCCCTCCCTGCCTGCCCGCTGAAGGGGAGCAGAGCTGCAGCAGACCCAAGAGCTTTCGTGGAGAGCTGGCAGCAGCCTCTGCATTGAAATCTCCTCTGTCCTTTTGTACAATTGCTTTGAGCCTAGAAAATCCATTTACTAGATAGATGTCCATCCAGGACAACTGAGGCACTGAGAGTCGAGACTAAACATCTCCCCGGAGCCCCTGGGGATGCTCCCGAGCCTGAATATCCCCCAAGAGCCGGGCGAGTGTTCCCTGGAGCCTCAGCACCGCCATCCCCAGCGGCCTCAGCGGTTCTCCCCCAGCTGCAGCTGCCCCTGGCCGCCTCCTCGGAGCGCCAGCCTGGCAGCAGCCGCCTCTGCCCACCAAGAACCAGCCCCGCTGCTGCCAAGACGAAAGCAGGAGGAGCTGCCAGCCGGGCAGCGCAGCTGCCACAGCTCCCAAAGGCGATCCGAGCCCGCCGGGGAGGGACACTGTGCCACAGAGCTGCGGTGCTCTCGGTGGGGACAGGCTGGTGGCACACAGAGGGGGGGTCTCACAGCATCCTGCATCCCAGCAGCAGCCAAACGGAGCCTTCCTGGGAGGGGGTTTGTGTGGCACAAAACATTTCCAGCTGCTCCAGGCGGAGGCACAGCATACTAAACAGCTTGGCCCCGCTAAAAGTTCAGCAGCTCCAGGGCCCCAGGCCCGGAGGCAGAGCCATTAACGTTTTCCACCGATATTTCTGGCACTACAATGTGCCCGGGAGAACATCTGCCTGGAGCACCTCATTCACAGAAGTCTGGGGGAGACCAGATGCTCACCCTGCAGGGAGCAAGTCCTTGTCCGTGAGATGATCTGGGCCATGCAGCCACTTCAAGCCATTCTGGAGGCGACAGTGTTTCACTTCAAAAAGCACCTGTCCCTCAGGACCAGCATTTTTCTTTCTGGCTTTCACATTGCTGCTGTGCAGTTGCACTGGCATAAGACCAATTTGTTTTTCCAGTTAAAATTATTCACAAATCTATTCAGTTTTCACTGATTTCTCAGAATTAAAATTTGAACCCTCAAAAGGCAGGTAAACCTGTCCTTGTAATTTTTAGTGGGCAGACAGCAAATCCGTGGGAATGTGTACCGATGGCAAAGTGCATGGGATGTAACAGAAATCAGCGCCGTTCTTTACATGACATGATTAAAACAAGTATCTCGTTTAATTAGAAAAAGAAAGATCGCAGACTCATTCCCAGGATGTTATCTGTGCAATTACTTTATGTAACATTATTAAAAATTAATTTTCCCCAGAACCTCAGCGATTTAATGAAACACGCCTGGTGCTCAGCAGCAGCTGCAGCGGAGCCAGCCCACCGGCATCCCCCAGGCAGCGGGACCGGGTGCCACGGGGCCCCCGGGGCTGTCTGTCCCTTGTGCTGGCCACATCCAGCGCTGGGTCACAGCACCTCCGCACAGCCCCCACTGCCGCAGGCTCAACAGCCCTCCTGCACCGGTACCGCAGCCCTCCTCGCCACAAGCTCCGCATCCCCCTCTCCGGGGACTCGGCATGCCCCATCTCTGGGAGCAAAAATCCTCCTCCTCCAGGGAATCAGCATCCCCCTTTCTGTGTGCTCGGCACCCCCGTCTTTGGGGCTCAGCATTCTCCCTCTCCAGAGGCAAAGCATCGCCCTCTCCGGGAGCAAAGCGTTCCCCTTCCCCGGGGAATCAGCACCCCTCTCTCCAGAGGGACAGCACTCTCCTCTGCCCTTCGCAAGGAGTCCGGCACCCCCTCACCCGGGCCGGCTGCTCGCCCCGGGAGCGCTGCCCGCTCCGTTCCGGGACGCGGCTCCTGCCTCGCCACCGGGCAGCGCGTCCCAGCCCGGCCAGGGCATCCTCCGCCGGGGGAAACCTCCGCCCCGGCACCGGGCAGCGCGTCCCAGCCCGGCCAGGGCATCCTCCGCCGGGGGAAACCTCCGCCCCGGCACCGGGCAGCGCATCCCAGCCCCGGGTACCGCATCCCTCCCGCGGCCCCGGGCAGCGCGTTCTCCGCCCGGCCGCGAAGTTCTCCCGCCGCCGCCGCCGCCGCCGGCGCTTACCGATCCGGATGACATGCGGCATCCCGTGCGAGCTCTGTCCCCAGAAGCCGCCGACCAGGAGCGCTGCCCAGTATTCCAAGAGGACGCGGCGGAGCGCCGGCCAGAGATGGGGCATCGTTGGGGAGGGCGCGGGCCGGCGCGGCCCTACGGCCCCAGGGGCAGCGGGGACGCGGGCGGCGGCGGCGGCTGCTGCCCGGGGCTCAGGCGGAGCGGCCGCTCGGCGCCGGGGCCGGGCGGCTCATGGCACATCTTAGAGCGGCCGCGCCGGCCCGTCCCGCGGCGGCCACAGCTCCGGCCGCTCCCTTCCGCGCCGTGCCGAGCCGAGCCGGGCCGAGCCGTGCGGTGCCGGTGCCGGTCGGGCGGCACCTGCGGAGCCGGGGCTGCCGGTGCGCCCCAGGAGCGGCTCTGTCCCCTCCTACCGCTGATGCGCGGCTCGCGCAAAGCCCCGGAGTGGAGCGTGCACACACCGACACGCTCACACCCCCCGACACACACCCCGCACACCCCCGGTACACACCCGGCACACACCCGGCACACACCCCGGCACACACCCCGGCACACACCCGGCACACACCCGGCACACACCGACACGCTCACACCCCCCGACACACACTCGGCACACTCCCTGCACACACCCGGCACACCCCGATACGCTGCCACGCCGCTGACACCCGGCACCCGCCCGCTCCCCCGGGGCGAGGGCAGCACCGGCGGCCGCGGGGCGGGATGCCCGGGGACCCTCGGCGGGCACCGCGGGCGAGGGGCGACAGCGCAGGGGTCCCGGGGGTCTCGGCAGCGCCGGGTGTTCCTGCTCCCTCTGCCCCCGACGGATCCCTGGCCCGCAGATCGCGGGGTGCCCGGTGTCCCCCAAGCTCTCGGGGGTCCCTAATGGCCCCGGGGGTGCCGGTGTCCCCGCCGGTGGGCACCGGGAGAGGCCGGGCAGGGGGTTCGGGGATGGGGCCGGTGTCCCGGGGCCGGGATGGGGCCGGTGTCCCGGGGCCGGGCCGGGGGTTCGGGGATGGGGCCGGTGTCCCGGGGCCGGGCAGGGGGTTCGGGGATGGGGCCGGTGTCCCGGGGCCGGGCCGGGCCCGCTGCAGCGGCGGTACCGCGGCGGCCGCGCTCCGCAGCCGGAGTTTAATGACCTCGGTGACAGAGACAAAGGGCTGCCCGTGCCGCCGGCCGGGAGCTGCTCTGTCAACGTGCTGGGCCAGGCTAGGGTGAATTTCTTTCTTTTTCATTTAAATAATTCGATCTATTCTATCATTTCCAATCGTTCCCATTTGCCAGCTGTCTGCTAACTCCAGCCTGGAACAGCTGAAGAGCAAATCTTTAATTTTCTTACAAACATACTATTACTCTGTATCGGTTCATCTTTTTAATTTTCCTTGCCCGTTGCTTTCCCCGGCAGCAGGCTGGGCATGCTGAGACGCTGATCGCCCCCTGCGCTCTGCTCCGGAGCCCCATCCCGGAGCAGCCTCCGGGAGCCGGGCTCTGCGGACTGCAGGAGGGACACTGCGAGTCATTTTGATCCACAGCTCAAAGAGAAGTTGCTGGGTGTCGCCTCTGCCAGCAGCAGCGAGTGCGGGACCGCTGCGGGGCCGTGGCCACGCGGGGGATGGATTCCCTGCCAGCGGTGTCCGGGCTCTGGCTGATGGTGCAGCAGCAGCACTGGGGGTTGGCCGGGGAATGGGACAGGTGGAATCCTAAGGAAAAGCTGGAAGAGTCTCTGGCTGCACAGGGCAGATGCTGCGGTGCCCCCCTGGCCCTGGTGCCAGCCGTGCCAAAGGTGCAGCCCAGCGTGGCCCGGGCTCTCAGCACCGCGGCGTGGTGGAGGGGACATCTTATCGTACCTCAGCAGAGAGGCAGAGGGGCTGCTCAGCCTCCTCCAGGCGCTGCAAACTGCTCGGCCACAGAGGAGGGGGATGTTGGTGTTGATTGTGGGCAGGACCGATGCTCCAGCTCCCAGCCAGAACCTTCCTGCCTGTGCCAAAGATGGTTACAGAAAAGATTGGCTCGTGTTAAGGATATTTTTATCCCTCCTGACACCAACGTGGATAAGATTTAGCAAAAGGGCATGGAAGAAAAATTCTTTAAATACTGCTTAAGGGAGGGACAGCTGTTTCTGTGGACTTGTTATAAAATTAAATGTCACAACCTGGTGACTCTTTGCACCCGCAGATAAAAAAGCCCCACAAAGCTATTGGGAGGGAGCAGGTAAAAAAGGCTGTTTTGGCTGTGGCTGTTCTTTGCAGACTCCAGCACATGGAGAAGTGGTTTGATTTTGTGGAGTGTTTAAACTAAACTGTAGCTGGGAGAAAATATTCTGTTAGTTTGGGATGCTGCTTCCTGCCTTTCTGTCAGTACCAGGCACTGATAAGGCTCCAACCTCAGCTTCAGCCTCTGGATCCTACTGCAGAGCCAGCACAAATAGTTTATTTTGTATTAAATGATTTGATTAGTGGCAGATGGGTGTGTGGAGGTCACGGACAGCCCTCATCTCCTGCGTGTAGGTCAGACAGGGCAGGACAGGAGCAGCTCTGGGCCAGAAATTACCAGAGCAGTGGAGCTTGGGCACAGGCAGAGGAGCACTCCGGGGCTGCTTTCATGGCTTGTCCTTCCCAAAGCAGCCCGAGGCACTCAGCAGAGCAGCCCACCATGGCTGAGCCTCCCTCCCTTTGTATCCCCACATCCCCACACTGCCCCAGCCCATCCTCTCTGGGACCTGCCAATGCTCCTCTCTCTGGGCAGCACCCTGGGGACCCCAGGATTACAAAGAGGGCATTTTGGAAACTTCTCTCAGGTGTTGCACCATTGCTGCTTGTGGTTTTTTTGTTGGGTTTTTGGGTTTTTTTTCCTCCATACAAAGACTCAATTTCACCTGATGCCCACGGAGGGGCTGCCTGGGCCCAGAGCTGTGGAAATGACCTTCGGCTGCCAGGCCAGACTTCCACTGGAGCCAGAGTCAGGTCCTGATGGGCAATTACAGCACAGCCAGGATGGCTGGCCAGAAGAAGGAGGAATTTGGAAGGGTGATAGAGCTCCTCAAGGGCCCAGGGCTCTGGCTGGGTGCTGCTGCACAGGTGAGTGCTCCCAGGGGGATGCTGGGCCTGGGGAGCAGGATTTGTACCAACCTGAGTCAGGCCTTTCTTCAGGAATCTTTGGCTGTGCCTTGAGGACGATCAAAGGTAGCAGAAGGACTTTGGCTCCGGACAATTTGTTACAGTGATGCTAAAAATACAAGATATTTGCCCAGTTCATAAGTGCTGTGAAAATAACTTTAATGTGGTAATTCATCATTTAAGAGTGCATCAATTAATGCAAACTCTGGTGTATTTATAACCTGTGAACATAGTGTACCAGTGAGGAGAAGTCAAATCGTTATTTTGAGTTTGTTGGGAAGATATTTGGATGTTATTTTTTCGTGCTGCTCTTTTTCCTATGACTATGTGTGGTATTTAGAGCTCCAGGTATTACACAGGTCAGATTCAAAATTGTGTACATCTTATGGGGGTTTTATAGACATAAAAATTTCAGTCCTCTCACCTATAAATAAAGCTGTAGGTTTATGGGTGTTCTCAAGACACTGATTTAAGACTTCTTATTTTCAAATATGAAAGGGAACCACTTGCAAAAGTGGAATATAATGTTGATATTATTAATATCTAGAGGAAAATGCTGATTGACAAAAGACATTTTCAAATCAGACTAATGCTTTAGAGCAGCAGCAGAACGATGAACCTGGCAGAAAGAGACATAAGCATTTCTATAGCTACAGCATTTTTCGATACTAATGAAGAAAAAGAGGCTTCTCTTTATTTCTGTAATGGTATCTAAACTGGTTCATTGGAATTAGCTCCATCCACATGTGTTTTGTTTAGATTTATATGCATCAGGTCTAATAGAACCACAATCAATCTGGGTTACGAGGCTCAGTGCTCGCATTACCGAGATTCATGTGCCGAAGTCGGCTCCTAAAACATCAGAGGGAATATACCTGGGAAAAATGCAGATTTCTGGGACTTGAGTGCCCTCTACTGAAACCGTCCCGGCTCCGGCCCTTGGCTGTGCCACCCGCAGCTCGATTGATGGCTTGCTAAATCCAATTGAAGCCTGCGGTTCGCAGATCCATTATCAAGCATCCCTCCTTTCCTTCCTCCCGCTCTCATCCCGCACTCCAGCGCGCTGCTTAATTCTGCCTCCTGCAGCTGTGCCACAGCAGATTCCCGGTTTAAATGGCAAGTTGAGGTGCTGTAAGGAAGATTCCTTTGGCTGTAACCATCCGGGAGCTGCGATGGCATTGAGGAGCGCTGGGCTGGGCGCAGCAGTGCTGCAGGAGAAGCTTTTCCCGAGGAGTTTGGCTTTGCTGGGTGTCTCTTCCCGGGAGAGGCTTTAGCTCCGTGCCAGAGCCGGGATGAGGTGATGCTGCCACCCCCGCTCCAGCAGCTCCTGCAAAAGCAAACACCGGCTAGCCGCATTGGCCCCGCAAACCCACTGCAATTTCTGCTCCATTTTGCTTGTTGTGGGGCGGAGGGAAGAGGGAAAATTCCCACTTCCTACTCGGCATTCCATCTGGAAGGGAGAGGCATTGTGTTGGTGCGCTTGGGATGGAGGCAGGTGGGGCCAGGGCAGAGGGAAACGCTGCGAACCCGCGTGTTGTGGTGCTGGCCAGCCGATCCCAAAGTGGGCAGGTTTCCCATGTAGGTTTTTATGAGGTTTATTCTCTAATGAATTCCCGCGGGGAAGGTGTGGCTGCTCAGTCCGGGCTAGGAAATGTGGGGTTTCTGCAAGCGGAAGAATTGTTGCTTCGCTACACCGCATATATTTGTGTTGGAACATACCGCGGTGTAATAGCTGGTTTGAAATGTATCCAGTTCTGCGGAATACATTATTGTGAAAGTCAGGAGAAGGCGCTGGGAGAAGGCGAGCTCCTGTCAAAGGCAGAGCAGCGGCGCCCCGCAGGAGCTGGGAGAGAGAGAAGGGGCCGGGAGCAGGAGCTGCGCCCCCATCCTGGGCTGGGCTGGCTGCGGGAGCTCAGATCAGGGCCTGGGCAGATCAGAAGGCGCTCCCGGGGCTCTCTGAAGCGTTGGCATCACCCCCGCAAGGTGCCATCCCCACCCCGCAGCAGCGACCCGCCGGTCCCTCCATCAGCGGCTCGCAGCCGGGAGCGGCGGGTACCAGTTTGTCCCCAGCGTGCCCAGGCTGGCAGATGCGGCCAGCTGTTTGTCCCCAGCATCCCCAGATGCCAA